GTGAATGTGGGACTTTTATTTTGAAAGCGGGAGGCTCAGATTGTGTACTAGGACGTGTCAGGGCGCTAAATGTAGGATTAAGAGAGAATAAACTAATTCATCTCCACTCTGAACAGGCACAAGGTATGTTTAACTGTTTGTTTTGGTAATATGCTGTGTTTATTGTGCAGTCTGAAGCGTATGTGTGAACAAACACGTGACTGCTGAATCGCGTGAAGAGGCTGATATTTACTCCTGGCTGTTTCCTTTGACATTACAGCTTTAAAATACGACACACCACTTCTCTATCTGTCTCTTTTATCAAGTCTAATTATACATTAGCCTTTATGCACAACAGATCTCGTTAGCAAAACAGGTCATTGTTAACCTGAGGGGTTTATATTGTCCGTGTGCAGCATTCATCATGCTGTGCGCGCTCAGTAGCTTATTAATATTCATGACCAATCCATATATGGTCAATTGTGGACTTATAAGGAGTAATACTTAGGAGTAATAAATGAGCATATAAAACAGATTATGGAGATTTTTAAATTTTTTTTGCCTGAGCTTTATACATTTTATGTTATGATATCAGAAAACAATTTGACTTATAGAACCAATGCATTATATGGCAGATTGTACAGTCTGCCAGAGGGAGCGCTTCTGCTTACATCACTATACTGCAACTAAATTGTAATCTAATCATGACAAACTATATATCGTTGGAAAGGTCTGGGTCTCCCGAATATACAGTTTACTGCTGCTTTTGTCATTTAAGAACATTAATAGAACGAAACACACTTACTGTCACTCTACAACCTGTGGGAGCATTTGCGCAGACATTTATAAACCATAACATTATAGTACAAACATAAAGCAATTATAATCAACTATATATTATTTGAAAACCTAAAATGTCTTGTTTCCATATCTGCTGGCTGAATTTTGATAGATATTACTAAGCAACAGTTATTTATTAATTTACGACAAGGACACTCCTCAGAGTCGTAAAGCATTACTTCGCTACAGCAATCCATGTGCGTGCTTATTTAGTTATTTATTTAGAGAGTAAATTCAAATCAAATACCACCAAACTGCCCATACTACTTAAAAATTTGATGCCTACCTTACAAATAATGTCAAAGGTTGAAAAAATTGATTATGTATTTGTATACGCCCTTATATGGTCACCAATGCAATCCGAGTGGTCATGTCTGGTACTGCAGCTAAACTGCAAACCACTGAAAGCTGTTTTTTCAGATATAAGCTTAAAATTCGGAATATAATTTCTTCAGATATTTAGCTTTGATTGTGTTTTGTAAAACGCATATTTCTGCATTACAATATCATCTAAATGTATTGTTTTATCATGTTCATAAACATAAAGACACATAACTTTTGTTACAATCCACAATCAAGTGTCTACTATAAAATGAGACCGAGCTCAAATCTGTGCATCAGTGTTACAGACTGGCATTCGTTTACCTTGAACGTGTCTTTTTCATGTCTATGTTCAAACTGTGGCATTTTATTTTGTGAATATTACGCATTTTCTCACAAATACAGGCTTACAAACAAATATAAAGTTTTATTTGCAATGAAAACAAACAGCATCTGATGCTGGAAAGATCTTGATGTACACTGACTGAATGATTTCCATTGAGCATGTGTGTGATAATGTGGTTTTGACACTTGATCTTCAGACTGATGAAGAACTGAATAAACAATAATGCAGATTAAAAAACAACAGATCATTTACAGTCATAAGTGTGCGCTCAGGCAGATTCAGCAACTCTCATCAGCACCGTTGTCCCCCAAACAGCTCTCAGTTCATCAGAAATAGAGTTGATTATTTATCATTATTTATTAACCAGTTTCAGTTTCTTTCCTCTGTTGAACACTAAAGAAGATATGTAATACTTTCAACAGCTTTAAAACTATTTATTAGAAATGTTTAAGTGTTCTTTTGCTGCTCATTTATTTACAGAAGAGGTAGGTTGTTGGTTATTTAACACATTTATTTACTGTGCATCTGAAATATGTTATTGTTTCATGTTGGTAGAAATAACTACTAAAACTTAGACTACTGATTCCCAGAGTCTTTGTGTTTTCCTACTATGGCAGTCAATGGTTACAGGATTCCAACATTCTTCAAAATATCTCCTTTAGTGTTATGCATCAAAAAAGAAACATAAGCAGGTTTGGAAGCTGTGGATTGTGAGTAAATACTGAGTAAATGTTGATTTCTGCGTGAACTGTGAAGAATTAAGTCATAAGTGTAAATTGTGATGTATATTTTCAGCAGATTTACTAAATATATAGAGATGGAACATGATATTCAATTAAAGGGACAGTTCACGTAAAACCTTTACTCATTTGTCCTATTTGAGTTTCTTTCTGTTCAAAAGAATGTTGGAAACCGGTAACCATTGACTTCCATGGTATTTGCATTTGTTATAGTAGCAGTCAATGGTTACCGGCTTTCAGCATTCTTTTAAAATATTGTCTTTTGTGAGACTGTTATGAAACCTTTATAATCATTATATGACATGATGAGGATTTATGCATGCTTATGACAACTCTTATTAAGTGTTATTCGCTCAGTTATAACAACTTAAATGCAAAGATGACATTGGTTGTCATGACAACTTGACAATCACATACATGATAACCATTTTTGTTGTTGTCATGACAACTTGACATAAGGGCATACATCACAACCAGTTTTTGTTGTTACCATGACAACTTGACAAATTCATAAATCCTAACAGGTTTTTGTTGTTGTCAAGACAACTTGACATAAATGCATACATGACAATTGGGTTTTGTTGTTGCCATGGTAACCTGACATGAACGCATACATGACAACCGGTTTTTGTTGTTGCCATGACAACTTAACAAATTCTTACATCACAACCGGTTTTTGTTGTTGTCATGACAACTTGACAAATCCTTACATGACAACCAGTTTTTGATTTTGCCATGACAACTTCACAAATTCATACATCCTAACCGGTTTTTGTTGTTGTCAAGACAACTTGACATAAAGGCATACATCACAACCAGTTTTTGTTGTTGCCATGACAACTTGACATAAACATACATGACAACCTGTTTTGTTGTTGCCATGGCAACTTTATATGAACTTAATCATGACAACCGGTTCTTGTTGTTGCCATGGCAACTTGACATGAACGCATACATGACAACCAGTTTTTGTTGTTGCCATGGCAACTTGACGTTACTAAGACAACACAACTCATCATACATCTGTCGTAAAAGTGTGATCATTATATAACAGCGTCATTAATATTAAACGAGATTTTAATGAGTAATTCAGCTTGAAGCACTGTACTTGAGGACAAAACACACATTAATGATGCTGTCATAAAATCCATGACATTTAGAATGGCTTCATGACAATCATGTTTATGACAGATCTATGACAATGTCTTGTTAATGTCAAGTTGTCACGACAACAATAAAAACAGGTTGTGATGTATTTGTTTATGCCAAGTCGTCATAGCAACCAACGTCATCTTTGCATTTAAAATGTTTTAATTGAGCGAATGACACTTGATAACAGTTGTCTCATTCCTACTCATGATGTGTCTTAACATCATTATAAAGGTCTCATGACTGTCTTATGAACACCCCTTCAAGTAAAGTGTTACCTGAATGTTGATCTGAGTAATGTGTGCTGATTTAATGAAAGCGCTTTTGCCTGTTCACTCACACACACACACACACACATACACACACACACACACACACACACACACACACACACACACACACACACACACACACAGATCCTGATATTCACTCAGAACTATTATAGTCCACGCACAGATTCTTGGATTCCAAGCAGAAAACAGTGCTGTAAAAGTCTAAAAGAGTGTGTGAAGTGTGTGTCATTTGTGTGTGTTTCTGATGTAGACGAGTGAGGACAGCAGCAGCAGCGCCGGCGGTTCACGCAGCAGCACCAGATTATCCGTGCGCAGACCGTCATAATGCAGCCAGCAGCCGTCCATCTGAAACACGGCAGAGTAATGATGATCGTCCCTGCTGAAGAGTGTGGCGCCTTCCAGAGAGTACCTGCACACACACACACACACACACACACACACACACACACACACACACACACACACACACACACACGGTTTTCAGATTTCAGTCAGAAATGCACACATCTACTGTATATGAGACATTGTTGACACTGATGTCACAGGGTCAGTTCACCCACAAACTAATATTCTCTCATTAATACTCTCTGTGGCACAGTGGTCAGCACTGTGGCTTCACAGCAAGAAGGTCTCTGGTTTGAGTCTCACCTGGGTCAGTTGGTGTTTCTGTGTGGAGTTTGCATGTTCTCCCCGTGTGGGGGTGGGTTTCCCCCAGGGGCTCCGTTTTCCCCCACAGTCCAAACACATGGGTTATAGGGGAATAAATCACCTCCACTGGCGTTATTGTATAAAAGTGTGTGTGTGTGTGTGTGTATGGGTGTTTCCGTGTTGGGTTACAGCTGGTAGGGCATCTGCTGTGTGAAACATTTGCTTGAATAGTTGACGATTCATTACACTGTGGCGACCTCTTATGAATAAAGGACTAAGCTGAAGGAAAATGAATGAATGGATAATCATTGTGCCCCATGTCGTGTCAATCACACACACACACACACACACACACACACACACACACACACACACACACACACACACACACACACACACAGACAGAGAGAAAGACTGAGGCTTTAGCTTTACCTCTGCTGGGAGAGCTCCAGGTGATAGGGCAGGTAGGACAGCTCCAGCTCCTCTGAGCTCCACATCTGCATGTTGAGAATCACAAACGGGGGAGGACCGTGACAGAAGAGCCTCGTGCTGAACTCACGCAGACCCTCACATCTGAACACACACACACACACACACACACACACACACACACACACACACACACACACACACACGGGTGAGCAAAGCAGATTCAGCTTAAGAAGAATGCACACACACATGGTTACACACACACACACACAAATACACAAGCACGCACTCACAACCATCTAGGCACACACGCGAGAACACGCATGCGAACACACACAAGGAGACACTCACTGGAGTTCCTGGCAGAGCTGCAGCCGCGGGCAGAAGAACTCGTCCAGAGACCGCTGGATCAGGCCTTTATCTGGAAACTCATGAGGAGGCCTGAGGAGAACACACACACACACACACACACATTAGTTAAAATAATATTAATAAGAATACTGAAGCACTGTGATGATGGACTGACGGAGGACTGAGGTCTTTTACAATCAGCACAACAACATCTCACATCTGACACAATGGAGATCTGCAGACCAACACTACTGACACAAAGACCCTCACACACACATTTATATCTGCAGACCAACACTACTGACACAAAGACCCTCACACACACATTTATATCTGCAGACCAACATTAATGACACAAAGACCCTCACACACACATTTATATCTGCAGACCAACATTACTGACACAAAGACCCTCACACACACATTTATATCTGCAGACCAACATTACTGACACAAAGACCCTCACACACACATTTACACCTGCAGACCAACATTACTGACACAAAGACCCTCACACACACATTTATATCTGCAGACCAACATTAATGACACAAAGACCCTCACACACACATTTATATCTGCAGACCAACATTACTGACGCAAAGACCCTCACACACACATTTATATCTGCAGACCAACATTAATGACACAAAGACCCTCACACACACATTTATATCTGCAGACCAACATTAATGACACAAAGACCCTCACACACACATTTACACCTGCAGACCAACATTAATGACACAAAGACCCTCACACACACACATTTATATCTGCAGACCAACATTAATGACACAAAGACCCTCACACACACATTTATATCTGCAGACCAACATTAATGACACAAAGACCCTCACACACACATTTATATCTGCAGACCAACATTACTGACACAAAGACCCTCACACACACATTTATATCTGCAGACCAACATTACTGACACAAAGACCCTCACACACACATTTATACCTGCAGACCAACATTAATAACACAAAGACCCTCACACACACATTTATATCTGCAGACCAACATTAATGACACAAAGACCCTCACACACACATTTATATCTGCAGACCAACATTAATGACACAAAGACCCTCACACACACATTTATATCTGCAGACCAACATTACTGACACAAAGACCCTCACACACACATTTATACCTGCAGACCAACATTAATGACACAAAGACCCTCACACACACATTTATATCTGCAGACCAACATTACTGACACAAAGACCCTCACACACACATTTATACCTGCAGACCAACATTACTGACACAAAGACCCTCACACACACATTTATATCTGCAGACCAACATTAATGACACAAAGACCCTCACACACACATGTATATCTGCAGACCAACATTACTGACACAAAGACCCTCACACACACACATGTATATCTGCAGACTAACATTACTGACACAAAGACCCTCACACACACATGTATATCTGCAGACCAACATTAATGACACAAAGACCCTCACACACACATTTATATCTGTAGACCAACATTACTGACACAAAGACCCTCACACACACATTTATACCTGCAGACCAACATTACTGACACAAAGACCCTCACACACACATTTATACGTGCAGACCAACATTACTGACACAAAGACCCTCACACACACATTTATATCTGCAGACTAACATTACTGACACAAAGACCCTCACACACACATGTATATCTGCAGACCAACATTACTGACACAAAGACCCTCACACACACATTTATACCTGCAGACCAACATTAATGACACAAAGACCCTCACACACACATTTATATCTGCAGACTAACATTACTGACACAAAGACCCTCACACACACATGTATATCTGCAGACCAACATTACTGACACAAAGACCCTCACACACACATTTATACCTGCAGACCAACATTAATGACACAAAGACCCTCACACACACATTTATATCTGCAGACCAACATTACTGACACAAAGACCCTCACACACACATGTATATCTGCAGACCAACATTACTGACACAAAGACCCTCACACACACATTTATACCTGCAGACCAACATTACTGACACAAAGACCCTCACACACACATTTATATCTGCAGACCAACATTAATGACACAAAGACCCTCACACACACATGTATATCTGCAGACCAACATTACTGACACAAAGACCCTCACACACACACATGTATATCTGCAGACTAACATTACTGACACAAAGACCCTCACACACACATGTATATCTGCAGACCAACATTAATGACACAAAGACCCTCACACACACATTTATATCTGTAGACCAACATTACTGACACAAAGACCCTCACACACACATTTATATCTGCAGACTAACATTACTGACACAAAGACCCTCACACACACATTTATATCTGCAGACCAACATTAATGACACACACACAGACCTGATGCAGATGGTCTTGAGCAGGTGCTCCTGAAAGCGGGACGGGCAGCTCCAGTTGGAGCACCAGCTCTCCTGCACGGTGGACATCAGGTTCTCCAGGTTCTTGGTGAAGTTCTCGTGTTCGTTCCCGAACAGGTCGATCTCCAGCGCCGCGTGGTGGATCTCGGAGCGGTACTGCCGTTTGGACATGCGGTCCCAGATCCACAGCATCTTCACCGTGGTGTAGTCGCACGAGTCCATCAGGTACAGGAAGTGCTGGACGAAGCGTTTGCCCAGGAACAGCGCCACCTCCAGGAGTTCAAAGGTCAAAGTCAAAATTCACAATTCTCCATTAATATCCATTAATGTGCAGATCTGTGCGTGTGTGCGTGTGTGTGTGTGCTCAGATGTTTGTGCAAATCATAACTGCCAACAATCCCGTTTTACCTGGGAGTCTCCCATATTTCAGACCCACGTGTGAGTGTGCAGATGATGAGTGAGTGTGTGTGTGTGTGTGTGTGTGTGTGTGTGTGAATGTTTGTGAGTGTGTATGAGTGTGCAGATGTGTGTGCGCAGTTTGTGCAGATGAATGTGTGTGTGTTGTGTGTGCGCAGATGTTTGTGCAGATGAGTGTGTGTGTGTGCGCAGATGTTTGTGCAGATGAGTGTGTGCGAGTGTGTAGATGTGTGTGCGCAATTTGTGCAGATGAGTGTGTGTGTGAAGATGTTTGTGTGTGTGTGTGAGTGTGTGGATGTGTGTGCACAGATTATTAAGCAGATGAGCGTGTATGAGTGTGCAGATGTGTGTGCAGATGTTTGTGCAGATGAGTTGTGTGTTATGTGTGTGTGTATGAGTGTACAGATGTGTGTAATTGTGCAAATGTGTGTTTGTGTGTAGATGTTTAAACAGATGTTTGTGTGTGTGTGTGTGTGTGTGTGTGTGTGTGTGCGTGCGCGTAGATGTTTGTGCAGATGTGTGCGTGTGTATAGATGTTTGCGAGTGTGCAGATGTGTGTGCGCAGATGTTTGTGCAGATGAGTGTGTGTGTGTGTATGAGTGTGCAGATGAGTGTGTGTGTGTGTATGAGTGTTCAGATGTGTACACGCAGATCTTTGTGCAGATAAGTGTGTGTGTGAGCATGAAGATGTGTGTGCAGATTTGTGTGTGTGTGTGTGTATGAGTGTGCAGATGTGTGTGTGCAGATGTGTATAATTGTGCAAATGTGTGTGTAGATGTTTCTACAGATGTGTGTGTGTGCAGGTGTGTGTGTGCGCGCGTAGATGTTTGTGCAGATGTGTGCATGTGTGTAGATGTTTGTGAGTGCGTATGAGTGTGCAGACGTGTGTGCGCAGATATTTGTGCAGATAAGTGTGTGGGTGTGTGTGTGTATGAATGAGTGTGCAGATCTGTGTAATTGTGCAAGTGTGTGTGTGTGTGGATTTTTGTACAGATGTGTGTGTGCAGATGTGTGTGTGTGCGTATATGTGTGTGCTGTTGTGTTTATTTGTGAAAGTTTGTCTGTGTGTGTGTGTGTGCAGATGTTTTTACAGATGTGTGTGTGTGTGTGTGTGCAGATGTGTGCGCAGGTGTGTGTTTGTGCACGTAGATGTTTGTGCAGATGTATGTGTGTGTGTATGCGTGTAAAGATGTTTATGAGTCTGCAGATGTGTGTGTGCACTGTGCAGATGTGTATGCAGATGTGTGTAATTGTCCAGATGCGTGTGTGTGTGTGTGTGTGTGCGCGCACCTCTCTGGCGAAGCTGTGGTTGTCCCGCAGGATGACGTACAGCAGCATGAGGAAGCCGTCGATGGTGCAGGTGTTCTTCAGGCTGATCTCCACATACAGGGGTGTGCTGGCGATGGCTCTGCGGCCCGCCCGGATGCTGAAGACGCCGCCCCACGGCAGCACGGGTCTCCAGAAGGAGCGCTCGCCCTCCACATTACTGCTGATGGAGGCGCGGATCTCCTCAAACAGAGTCTTGGTCCTGGCAGGAGGACATTACAGCGTAAACAGCGTAACCCTTGTGTGCTGTTGGGTCGTTTTCATCCACTCTGGGTTGATTTTGAGGCTAACATTGGCCACAGCTTTCTCTGTGTCTCTGCTGATGAATCTTTTTTGACTCATATTTTGGGAAAATGCTTTGAAAGTTTTCATAAACTCGTCAACACTGTTCAGACTGACTCCCCTTTGGTGATGTTGGGGCTGTTTCTGCCCATTGACTTCCATTATAATCACATTTATTGATTGTAGAGCTGATGATCAACAGTATAAATGACACATCGTCCCTCTTCCCAACAGGGAAAACCAGCAGCAACCCAGTACTGGGAAACACCCATACACTCTCATTCACACACACACACACACACACAAACACACACACACACACACACACACTATGGACAGTTTAGTTGATCAGTTCCCCTATAGCGCATGTGTTTGGACTGTGGGGGAAACCGGAGCACCCGGAGGAAACCCACGCTAACAAGGGGAGAACATGCAAACTCCACACAGAAACACTGACTGACCCAGCCAAGACTCAAACCAGAGACCTTCTTGCTGTGAGGCCACAGTGCTAACCACTGAGCTACCATGTCGCCCTCTTTACAATCAATAAATGTGATTATAATGCAAGCCAGTGGGGCAAAAACAGCACCAACATCACCAAAGGGGAGTTGATTTTAACAATACACAAGGGTTAAGAGTGTTTAAATGCATTTATAGACCATCATCACCACATTAGGTTTCAATATATAACATTAGTGACATTTTAATCTACGGTATATTATATAAAGCAAAGGTAAAGCGTCTTGGCTTGTGAAAACTCCTTATCAAAGCACTATAATTCAGAAGTGTGGGAAGGAAGAGTATTGTATTGAGGTGAAGTTGGTTTTATATTCGCACCTGTAACGTTCACTATATTGTCTACTACGCTAATTTGATTATAGGGTCTGTAATCACATGTAAATATGACTTGAAAACAACATTAGCACTGTTTAATTGACTGTGAACGCTGTTGTGCTTTGATATTGATTGGCTGCTAATATGATTTTGCTATTTAGAGTTTGCGAATAACACTTTTCTGAAATGATATTATTAAGGGGAAAGTCTGAATGTGCAAATATAAAACTTTACCTCAATCAATATTTACCTCCATGAACGATTATTAAAAGAGAGAGAAACAAATCAATAATTAGACCAGACTAATAAAACCTTTATGTGGAGCTTTAGCAAACTCTCTGACCTTTAAATGAATGAACTTCATACCTGTTTTGATTTTAGTAATATGCATTGCTCAGAATATAACGTGTTCAACTCTGAAAGTAATTTTCCTCAATATTTACATTTTTTTTTGAACACTCAAATAAATCCAGATATTTCAAACAGATGCATCTCAGCCACATATTTCACAAACTAGCCAATACATCAGTGGACAGATTACTAATTCAGCTTCAAATCCACATAACACCGTGATTGTGGTCACTAATACATGTCAACAAAATCAAACAAAAATGCAAAGAATGTTTATATATGCAGAATAGTGCGTCTTAATCCAATAATCAGCATATCTGAGCAATATTTCAGCTTAGATATACAGTTGAAGTCAGAATTATTCGCCCCCTGTTTATTTTTTTCCCAGTTTCTGTGTAACAGAGAGCAGATTTCTCTAACACATTTCTAATCATCATAGTGTTAATAACTCATCTCTAATAACTGACTTATTTCCTCTTTGTCATGATGACAGCAGATAATATATGTAAAGGCTTCACTAGAGTGTAAGAGGCTGAATGATCATATGCATTAGTTTATATGACTAAACATGTCTTTTTGACTCAAGAAGGTCCACACTGACTCCAGAGGGCAGATACTGATGAGATCAGGGCCTGGTGTGTGGACTTTGGGGTTTTATGATGTGATCACATGTTGATTGGTAAGTTTGAATGTCTCTGCATTTGGGCTTTAGTCACATGGTCAAGAAAGATACAAAAATAGGTGGTAAACTCGGGCTCTGTTTCTTTTCCTGCCATCGTCTTTTCCTGCTCTCCACCTCTGGAGTCTATCTTCTCTGACTCTACTGCAATCAGGCTAACTTCTGGGCCTGCTCTCTTTATCTCTCTCCCTCCCCCCGTGCCTCTCTTTCTACTACTGTTAATTTTTATTTTACATTTAAGCTGGGTACAAATATTATCATACATTTATCATTTCATATTTTAGCATTTTATACAGTTATTTTGTAATTAATTCAGTTGTAACCATGGAGAATTATTGTCATTAAATCATTTTATTTTCAAGTATTTGTGAATTACTTTGCATTTAACATCAACACTTAATTGTTCCATATTGCAATACAATACAATCACATAATATCAGCGCTCTCCCACATTTATAGCTATTAATACTGCCCTTATTTCCGCTTTTGGTATGAGACTGCAGAAGAATGGTTTGACCAGAAATGTACAGTTTTTTACTATCATGCTGATCACTTTTTAGTCATTCAGCAGAATGCTGTGTTTTAAAACCCATTCTTA